TGCCATGTAAGACATGCATTAAAAGTTTATCTGAAACTCAAAAGTAATTGGGTGTCCTGTATTTGATCACAACTGTACTCCCGAGAGATTGGCAAGGCTTCCCTGGTTATACTCTCCAGGCCATGAATACCTCTTGCAAATTTTAGCAGTGCGGCCAGAATTCTGTACTCGGTGTGCTGAGGAGAGAGCCAACTCTAGACAGGCAGGGAGGGTTGCCAGAAAGGGGGAACAGGTTGTCCTTAAAGCATGGGTAGGAACGCGGATTGCGTTCCATTTCAGGAGGGCAGGCCCAGGCCAGGTGCCACTGGTGGGTCTGGGGGGTAGACGGCCAGAGAGGCCTGCTTCTAGGAGGAGGGGGCTGAGGCCCTTCACTTCTGCGTATAAGGAAGCCCTCTGGCCAGCTCTTCAGCACGCTTGAGATTACATTTCATCACACAGCGGGGATGTCCCGGTCTCCCTTCTTCACAAGGACATCCCCACTGTGTAAGGACAAGGGACAGCCCAGCCTCAAGCACAAGAGTGGCAGGAACTCCTCCCAGTTGTCCTTCGTGAGCATGAAGGGCTTCTGTCGTCAAGGGGCTTATTCTAGAGCAGCAACTCTCCAGGGCTACGGGCACCAGCATGACCTGGAGGCCTGGATCAAGCGCACAGGGTTGGGCCCACCCTCCGAGTTTGTGGCTCAGTAGGTCGGCGGCGGAGGGTGGAGAATTCGCATCTCTCACGAGTTCTCAGGGGATGCTGCTGCTGTGGCCTTTGGGGACTGCTCCGAAGCAGGCCTGCTCACACTGGCACGTGCACACCAACCACCGGGAGACTGGGTCAAAACTCAGAATCTGTCTGACCCACCAGCTCTGGGAAGGGGTCTAGGATTCCGCCTCTCCCACAAGCTCCCATGGGGGACAGCAGGAGCACACCGAGTCGCCAGGCTCCAAGGAAGGCGTTCTCGTTCCTTGGCTGCGCGTCGGAATCACCCAGGGATCTTTTTGACGTTCCCAGAGCTTGGGCCACAGTCCAGGCCAATTCAATCAGAATTTCTTGCATGGGACCTAGGCATTTGGAATTTTTAAAGCCGCGTGATTCCAGGGTGGAACGGAAGGGGCAGGTCCTCTTGCCAGTTCTTCCTGGGGGACACGCTGTACTGTTCCTGTGAGTGGAGTCTCTGCTTCCCGCATCCGGAGCTGACAAAAAAGCCAGTGGTCAGAGCTCTGGCTGCTTCTGCAGTTCAAAGCAGAAGCTGTCGAGGTGTTGCGATGCTTCTCGGTATCTGAAGAGAGCGAGCCCAATGCAGGCTTTTCCTCATCTGAAACGTGGGGAAAATAATAGTGTGGCATCATAGAACTGTGCAAAGAGCTGATGTAAAAAGAGAATTCATGCTCAGTGTACTTAGCACTGTGCCAGGCCCATAGGTGCTCGGTAAATATTTTTAATATCATCTGTTATCGCCATTACCTTCCAACTTCCCACCGATCACTTCATTCATTCTGCAATATTTCCGTCTTGTGGCTGCCCTGACGTGCTTGACCTCCTCCGCTGGCGGACAACTTGTCTTGAGAGAACCGTAACAGAGTATACCATAGACTTAGGTTAAGAGCATGCTATAACTCAATAAATATGTAATCGGCTTGTGAACAATAGCACAGCCATTTTAGTTTTCAGCTTTAAAACATAACCTGTAGCTGTTTAAAGTTTCAGTTATGGGAAAAACTGCAAAGCTCTAGTTCAAGCTTCAACCCCTTAGCAACAACCAATCAGGTGCCAGGGGAAAATCACCTAAAGTTTCCAAATGTCTCTGCAACTTCCCCAGCTAGTGGGCCAAGGTCAGGCTGAGTCAAGCTAGCCAATCCTCCACGATTAAGCTGACCACCAGAGGTTACAACCCAATTAAATGGTAACAAGACTGGAGAGTCCCCCCAAACTCCTCCTCCCTTTGTGTAAAAACATAAAAGGTGTCTGCTTAAGGAAGTCAGGGCCTCTGGGTGTACTCCGCTGCGTTGATTGTCGACAGAGGTCCAGGCTCGAGCTTGCAAATAAAAACCCTCTTGAACTTTCATCGGAATTGGCTCTTGGTGGTCTCTCGGATTGAACATTCGGCCACTACAGTCTGTTGTGGACAGCCTTGAATCCTGGAAACTCTCTCTTCTATTGAGCGGCTGTCTTATTTCCTGGAGGTTCCAGTGATCAGTCCTAGTTGAACCCCTTTGATTGCTACATAAGACTCATTTAAACAGTGAAAACCAGTCTTCCCTAGTTCTGCATGGCTTACCCATCCGTGGTCCTTCTTTTTCCATATTCCTCTCATTTCAATTGTTCCCGTTATTTTGCCATCCTGGTGGTTGCTTTTGTGTTGTCTGGTTTGTGTTGGTGCCAAGTCTCAAGCAGTTTATCCAGGTTTTTAGTCTCCTTAGTGTCAAGAGTACTGTGACTCAACTTCTTTGTTTTAGAAACCATGTGTACATCAACATAGCCCAAGACGGCACCACTGTTTTTGGTGGCTGCATCACCGCTGACTTTCACAGAGCTTGCTGTGGATTACAGTTGGAGGCATTCTTTTCCATATGCTTGCTGTACTGTGCAACACAATGCCCTCTCTGACCTTGTGTAATTGTGTGCATGTTTTTTTTTTTTAAACCAAGGTGAAAGCTACTACACCCTCTTGCATTTCACATTAGTTTGCCCTATTTCTCTGCCTGTTGAGATTTTCTTCGAATCCTGATTCTGTCATTTAGTATAATCATTCTCTCCCAGTTTTACGACATACCCATTTTTCATAAACTTGCCTTCTGTAGCTTCCGTCAAGTTATTCATTAAAATGTTGAACAGATGGGGCCAAAAGGCAAGCTTTGCAGCAGGACGCTAGAAATGCTCTTTCAAGTTGCTATGTTTTCTTTCATTAGCCCCACTCAAATGGTTTCACACTCACCAACTGCACTCAAGTCCTGATTCTCTTTCTCCATCTTGCTCATATTATTTCATTAAAGACTATGCAGAATCCCTTGTCACAGCCTAGATATTTTGTATTTTGCATTTTTCTCATCTAAGGTTAGTGTTACAAAATAGGGAATGAATGGAGTCTGAACTGGTTTCCTCTCAGGGACTCATGGGGGCTTCCAATATTGCTGCTTCCCTTCCACTTGACTCTAAAAATATGCTCACTGGTCTACAGCAGATAGAATTTACACTCTTTTATAATATTAGAAAGAAATATGTCTACCTCCAATATTTTCTACTGCTTACAATTTACCAATAAACGTTGACTGTGACTGAGCATTCTCCTAGGTGAATCTCACATCTCATAGTCCTATGGAAAGGAATCTAGAGACATCTGGAGCTATTTGTTGCCCTGCGTTTTAGGTTCCTCTTACAAGATGATTGCTATCACCCCACTGGTGCTAATGTTATTTGTACAACAGAGAGACTATGATCTCCTTCCTCCAGAGGACCAACACCTGGACAAAGGGTGATTCTGCTTGAGTCTGTGATCTGAGAGACCAAAGCAGGCACTCAACTTTATCAACAAAAATGGACCTGAGGTTAAGGGAACACAAGTTGCCCACAGGTCAGGGTTTAGCTGGCATGACAACTTCCTAAATTTCTAGGGCTGTAAGAAAAACCATATTCTGGCTAACTTCTCTAACAATAGGAGATATCAGGCAAATTTTAAGACCCCTCTCCTGACTGATTTACAACCTGGGCCATTACAACTCTGGACAGAGGATTGGCTTTACAAACATTCTTCTCTGATCATCAACTGCAGACCTGGAGCCAGTTTTAGAGAGCTGACAGAGGTACGCGCAGACTGTTTTTATGTCCTACGGTTCATTTTTTGATATCAAGAGTCAAATTCCACTTCATTTGAATGCCAAAACCCTGCCCCAAAGTGAACATGGGATGTGCCATGTTTATCCATTGCGCATGTGTTTGACTCTGTTCATAAATATGTATGGATTCTCCCCCAAAGCTGCTAAATATGTATGATTCTATTGTGTGGCACAGACTCCCTGAAGCATAAAACCAACCAGCCTTTTCCCCTTTGAAGAGAAGGCACCTTTGGTCCACGTTAGAGACTGTCTCCTCCCGGTGTGCAAACTGACATCACCAATAAAGCTCTCCTTTCTGCTATTCAGTCATTCTGGTGGTCTTTGGACAAGTTTCACATTCCAAATAGGGAGCTGTAAGAAAGCCAAAGGGTGCTGAAGGATCTAGCTCCCCCCCCGCCCCTTACAAAGCTATTATTTCTCTGAGGTGTGCACATCATAGTAGTTTTGAAAAGTTAAAAGCTTGCTTTATACTAAAAGATACACATTACCACCCTTCCGCCTGTCCTACGGTAATCAAGGCTGACAATATGGACTCTCCACTTGTGTGAATTTCTGTCCTAGAAACGGGTTCTGAGGCAGCACTCATTTGTGTTTACGACGCTGTAACCAGTGACCTCATTTCAGAAAGTCCAAGCCCCCAACATAACACCTCCTCTCCAATATTCAGAAATTCAGTGATTAGGATGGAATCTTATTTTTCATTTTCCAGGTCAACAGACCTTATTTTTAACATTAGGTTTGGTTATGAGAACACAAAGGTACACAAAGGGCACGATAACACCGGGATCAGTATTTGCATTTTAGGATAATTATTAACTCCATGGTCCCTTTGCCTTGATGAGAAGTAAACAGGAATACAAATTGCTCTTGAAATTGCTTCAAAAAGTTCATTTATTTCTCCCCTGCTCAAATTCCCCAATAGAAGACAATAGGCCTCTGAAGTCTCTAACAGCATCTACCAATATTTTGATGTAAACACAAATCCTCACTGAAGTCCATGGAGGTGAGACAGCGTTAGCAGTCTGACATTCTCATCATCTCTTTCAACTACTCTGGCCAAATCTTCCAGTGTGGGAATTATGGTTGTCTTTATGGAGTGGGCAGGGTGTGGTGTTATTTGTTTGGATTTTAAAGATATTATTCCAGTTGCCCAAGATAAGCAAATAAAAACATTCCCCCAAATGATTGAAATTTGTTGGATTTATTTCTTTCTAAAGTTTGTACATTTACATATGTCATATACATATTTTAAATCCTTCACTATTTTGCATGATTTCTATTACATAAAAACCATTTAAATGCAATAAATTTTGTTGTTGTAAAACAACAAAATACTCCCAACTTATAAAAACACAGGAACAGTTATATTCATAAACATTTACACAATAAATGTACTATATATATCACAGCTTCTATACATATCAGGTGACACTCGTCTACAAGGTTTAGGATTACTTTAACAACAGTGAAATAGGGTAATATTTATATACAACTAATTTAATAAAAAATAAAGCAATTGTAAAATGTAAACTTAATTTTCAAAATATTCTTTAAACATTTTCACAATATCCATACAAACTACTGTTCCGTTCAAAAGATGACCACCATAAATGCCATGATTTTCTAGAAGATGGCATTTCTTGAATCTGGTGGGTGGTAATGAGGAACAGGTTTCCAGTACATGACATGGTACCACTAGCTTACCCAAGTCTGTTAATGCGGATAGTTTGGCCACTGAAAAGGAGCAGGCTGCTACTTTGTCACTAATTACTTTCACAATTTGCAGGGGACATATGGCACCAGGACTGCAATGAAACTGAAATGGCTGGTGGAGAAAACTTTGAAGGTAAAGAAATGTTCCACAATGTCAATTAGTTTGAACCAAAGTGAATATAACTCAGATAATAGGTTGGAAAAGTTAAAAGCTTGCCTTATACTAAAAGATACACATTACCGCCCTTCTGCCTGTCCTTCGGTAATCAAGGCTGACAATATGGACTCCCCACTTGTGTGAATTTCTGTCCTAGAAACGGGTTCCAAAAACTTGAGACAGAAGAGGCTGCAGGGAGGCCTGTGGACCTTCACCCAACAGCTCTTATAGGGACTAAGCAAAACTGCTAAGCAGGTAGTAGAGTTCCTTGACCCTTTCTCATGGCAATGAGATGCTATCCGCTTCCAGAAACTGGGTGCAAAGGCAAAGATATCATCCATCCCTGGTCAGGGTGCAATGTGCCACTGTGCTTCTTACAAACGCAAAATACACGGCCTTAGCTTCAGAGAACTTTTCGTGACATTTGTCATGTGCCACCCTCAGTGACTCAGCCACTGTCAGAGGGGACATCTTGCCTCAGCAGGGTGAATGCATCGGGACACCTGGATGCCTAAAGCCGGGGAAGCGGCATTTGAAACCCAGGATGGTTTGCGGCTCAGCAGAAGGCCAAGGGGAGTGGAAGGCCGGGAAGAAGCTCCTCTGTGCAGAGAGGACTCATCATCACCCTCTGCGGGGCCTGGGACTCAGGGCTCAGAGCAGAAGCTTCAGACTGCAATGCGGTCCTGAATCAAGCCTTGAGCTGGGACTCCCTTAGGAGTATCTGAAGACTTGTTTATATGGACCGATGGGGAAATACTAGGGGAAACTTCAAAATTCTCTCCATGAACCAATATTTTCAGGAATTGAAGTTAAGGTGCTTATTTTTATAACACTGTTAGTAAGAGCTCAGCTCTCTGCCCTGCAAAGGGAAATGCATCTTAGCTAGTAGGTTCCTTCCCATTTCCACGCTTCCAGTCGCTGGTGATGGAAAAGTGCTCAACTGCTCAGCACGTTCCACTGGCGCTCTCTTTTCAGCACAGCTCGGAGGGGAATGTGGACGATCCGCATCAGTGTTCCCAGAGTAAGTGCCTCATAGCTCCACCAGCTGCACGGCTTTCCCAAAGGAATGATCTGCAGAGCAAGCAGTTTTCTGCCACCCGGCACAATGGTGCACACCGGCTTTCTGGAATATCAGCCCAGGTCACCGAGGGACGCTGGCAAGCTGCCCCTTATGAATCACAAGAAAGCCTTCAATATGGTGGTCCACTAGAAAGAATGTGGGATGTATACCTTCACTTAGTCATTACAAATGCAATGTATCTCAAAGTCAGACGCCGGAGCTCAAATTCCACCCTGGCCCTTGGGAAACACCCATGATGCAGTTTCCACCCCCTTTGTTTATCACCTCTTTAGAATACTCTGGACCTCTGCATGTTACCTCTTATGTTTGGATACCTTAAGACATTCGCTGTGTGTGCATGTGTGCAAGCGTGTATACACATGGCAGAGATCCCAGACATGTCAACTTTTCCCCTTCTGTACCTAAGGGGACAGTAAACCGGTTTCTGAATCTCAGGAACAGAGGACTGACTACATGCATGGCTACCCTAAATGAAAAGCAACTGGTTTACTGTCCCTCCAACTTTAATTTGGTCTAATTACTCTTGTTCCTATAGTTTAAAAAAAAGTATCTTAATGGCATTAAAGAATCAATGTGCATATATATTCTCTATAGAGTGGATATTACTATCCATGTCAAATGGCTACTTGGCTTTATAACATCCATGGCTTTATATTAAAGTCCAAATATTTCAAATGATTAAGGCCCAAAAAGGAAACTTTTATTTCACTTACTCCTCTTCTATATGATTTCTGAATCAAATGGCTGTTTTTGTGAATCACAGCAATTCTCAAAAGGAAATACTCTTGCAAAACTAAGACCCTGCTGATCAGTCACAGAGCCAGTCCACTGCACGTCAAGAACAAATGAAGAAAAATGATATATTTGCAAAAATAGCTCGAGACTGAAGAGTTAATTAAAAACAAAAACTCAAGTGTAACTACTAACACGCTACTGCAGCCTGGAGCTGAAGATTAGTCTCCCACCCCACAATTCCCATTCTCTGAATCAGATACAAAGACACGAGGCAGTGTGATTAAACAAAAGACACTGCACTCAACCACTCACTCAAACACACTCAGTCACTGATTTAAATACACCAAACATGCTGGTTAATAAAATTGTAGTCTCTAGTTATCTATTTACACTCTATAATATAAGCAGTAAGCTCAAACAACTAAGGCCAGTGGCTCTTCTTTGGGGAGAGGCAGGAAAAAGAGACCTAAGTATAAAAATATTTAAATAAAGTTTAAACCTGGTCCTAAAATTCTTATACCTGTGACACTAGATGCTAATTTGTGCAACTGCAAACCTAGAATACAGTACCCAATCTTGGGATGCCCTGATAAACTTTAGTGCTCCATAGTTCTTCAAAGTAAGGATACGGCACCAGGAGAGTGGTTTGATCTCCTGTAAAATATACACAGATACATAAATGATAGGGTGGGTACTGAATTCTTCTGAAAGCTATATTCTTCTGGACTAATTACAACAATAAAGAACGTGTGCTTTAAAGCATCACATTTTGTAATAAGCCCAAAACTGTCCGTTTGACTTTATGTTTAAGTGCTCTTAATACTAAAGTTGCTAAGACTGCACAGGTTGCCTTTTTTTTTTTCCTTTTCTTTCTGTATTTCCCAAATTCCAAGGAGCTATCCCCTTGGTATTGCACACAGTACACTGCAATAGATTCACAAGGTTAGTCCAAAGTCATTTTTGCCCTGGTGATTCAAAGCTCAAAGACGGAATATCTAGCATAAAGTCTTATTTAAAAAAATTTAATCAAAATATCATATGAATTTAAGTTTAATAAAACAATACCACTATATATACTCTCAACAACTTCATTATATAATCAATCCTATGAGGTTTTTACTTGCTTTTCATATTACATCGCTTATTAAGGACAAAAATAATTTTGATGTACATATACCACATACTGATACACAATTTACACATTGATGCACATACATACACACAACTATAAATACCCACAAATACAACATTGGCAAATGACAGAAAGCATTTTCTTTGACGTCTGACATACTACCTGTACGAATATTCTTTAAAAGCCTGCAAGACTACAGATACACACATAAACTACAAAGGACGAACCAAAGAGACTTAAGGAAAACTATTGTATATATACAATTGCTTAACTTGCAGAATTTTCTTGCTGTTGCATTCAAGTCAAACTTTCATGCAGATTCAAGTATTTACTGAGATTCTCTCTATGAAGACATTCTTTCTGCATGCAACGGGCCAATTATTGTCCTAAGCAGAAGGTTGCCCACTTGGGTTTTGGTTACGGTAGGTCCAAAAGGAGAAAGACTTTGAACTTCCGTCCTCCTTTCAGGGGTGAGAGATGGAAAAAAGAATCCGAAAGGGGAAGGAGTGACAAAGCACCTCTCTATTGCTACCAATTACCTACCATGGTATTATTGTGTGATGATCTCAAGTCCTCTGGATGTCTTGATGCTGTAAGATGTCAAAAGACTGGTGGAAAGAGATCTGCCGACTTGGGACAAGCCAGTAGCTTGGCCTGGGAGAAAAGACAGTCAGAAAGCTATGGAGCGAGATGGAAGGACCAGAGGTTCAGCTGCCTGCAAAGCTGACCGATCTTTTTCTGTCAGAGTAACTTAGATGCCTTGAAGCAAAAGCAGACACCATTCAAGCCCCAAGTCACACTATTACTCATAAGCTAGACTCCACCTTTTAACAAGTCCTAGGATGCCACTTTGGTTCTTCCTTTTACAATGCTAGTTTGACAACGGAAATACATTCAGTCATTTAATTGAAGGGATAATTCATTGCTGACGTTAAGAGAGGTGGCTACCAACCTGCTGAAAACTTGACCGAGCCCACAAGAGCGAAACTTCAGAGATTTGGACCTACAAGGCTGAGAAACTTCCTGTGAATTCAGGCTGAAATAAGCTTAACTGATGACTACAGAAAAATGCCAAAGGAATTAAAATTCCAAGGACAATTCAGTAAGCCCAAGAAGGTCTTGAAGGAAAGACAATAGAGAAGCTTCTTTAAGGTCAATTTTCTTCCAATTGTCAATAATTAGGGGAAGAGACAGAGTGGAGGTGCAGGCCCTGCCTTACCTAAGAGCATCTACCTGGGATCTTCACAGGATAGAGGGAACAAAAGGCAAAGGACAGCAGAGAGCTCTGTGTAACTTTGTGCTTAGGCGGCAAAGGGCCTGTTTCCCTGTTGGTTATATCAGTTCTTCCCCAACCTCAGAAGTTCTGTGGTTTGGCCACAGGGTGAAATATAAACCTAGCTTGACCTTGGAAAGCCAGCAAGATTTTCCTCTTCTAGAGTTAATTCCCTCATGCCACTTCCACCTAGGAACCAGTCCTCATCTTCTGGATTAGAATAACAGCTGGAGAAGCATAGAGGGTCTTGTGTTTGGCACAAGACCACTGTATAAGCAAATGCTTTCTTTCCTCTTTGCCTAAGAGCGATAAAAAAGGTTGCACATAATCCAGGAACTACATTTCTATCAGAGGACTCTCCCACATGTTGGTTTTTACTGAGAATAATTAAAATGCACAAAAGCATGGCTTGATCTAATTAGACTTTGCTAAGAATTAGCAAAATGGTGTTTTTAAAAAGTGCACCTCAGAAATATCTATGATCTGGTAATAAGAAATGGACTCTGTATGCTAGTAATTAAGTTCTGATTGCTAACAAGGAACCCCTGATACCTTCCTGGAAAAGCCAGCATGTGAGGTGGGAACAAACCCCCCCAGACTCAGGTTTTACACAGGCCACTCCTATGGTCATTTTGCAGCAAGACTATGACTGAAGTATTTTGATGGCTATCAAGATTTTTCTATACTAAAAATTAATATAAGTGTATTTATGTGAAGAGCAATGATGATTCATCACACGGAGAGAAATCCCAAGGCTCCTGGGCACTGAGCTGGGGGTGAGGAAGGGCAGTGGGGGATGGAGGTGGGGTGGAGTACCTTCAGAGGAAAGGAGAAGGGATGCTCTCCTGTACCGTGAGTTGGGCTTAGAGTAGCTATGAGAGGAAACCTCTTCATTTTCTTCTGACTAGATTCCAGAGGGAAGAAATTATCACAAACACAATTGTGCTTGGCTATGAGCCAGACTCTCAGAATCTAGTTAAATCAGGTACTATTTTCCCTCATGTGATAAACTTTTGGCCTGTTACATGCACTGACATACAGCAACCTCCCAGAGGCCTTAAGAAAGAGGTTCTCAGCCCATCTTCTAATAATGGACAGGCATCATGCTAGGGCAATCTGAGATCCTGGCTCACAAAGAACCTTAAAAGTTGTTTTTAAAGATAAACTATGCAAACATGGTATACCTCAGTATCAAAAGAGACCTTCTTATCTGACGACTGCTAGCATATCCAGAAGTCTCTGGAGTTAACATTAGTGAGTCATGTGACAGGAACAGTGCTGTAGTGGTGCTGATGCTAGCTGAGTATTTCAAGACTAACCTAAATGCCAGAAATACTGTAGCAAGGTACCATTCAATGTACATTAAATACCATAAGTAAAACACACACAGACATTCTATATACATTGACATACACTGTGGGCAAACACATTCAAGCCAGTTAGGGAAGTTAATTTTTCTTCAATATTGAAGCTCATAGATAACATGATCTAGGTACCTCTCTCCCCTCTGCTTAATATAAATATTTAGGCCCGAAAAAAATGCTGACAATTTAAGGTTATCAGGAAGAAGGATAACTTGCTTGTGGAAATCTTGGATTCAGTAAGAAGTTACAAAAATCAGGTACATGGGCCATGTTGGTACCTACCCTGCTTAGCAGATCTGAAATGTAAATTTAGTCACTGTCTTTACCTAACCAAGACAGAGAGTTAGAGTGAGTTTCTCAAAGATGTGGCAAAATACTTATCACAAAGCTGGCAACTACAACCTTAGAGAGGGTAACTAAGGTTACCCTTCTGCTCTGGACATCAGCAAATATAAATATTTTTATAGGTGAAGAAAGCAAACTTTAATAAATAATCCTGTAAATAAATGCTGGTATATCATAATAATATACCACTTAGAAACTACCGTGGTTTTATAGCAGGTTTTCTCAAATTCACTGGAACCCTGCTATTCATAGAGAGCAGCTAATCTTTGGTCATAGTACCTTCAACTAACATATTGAGTAGAACTAGAGAACGTTTCTATGGGAGGAAAGAGAATAATAAAAGTGATTCTATTAGTTCTGAAGCTGCACAAATTTGTAAAGATTACAGTGTCAGGGATCACAGACTTTCAAGGTTAGGAAATCAAAAAGGTCTAAGTCAGAATGGGCTAAACTTTCTCTCCTTTCTCTTCCTCTATCAGAGAATGTTCTGTCTTTCACCCTGGTTTTCAAAGGGGCTGTAACTGGAACAAGCTCATGGCTATAAGGCTAATAGAACTATTTTGAGTAGACAGAAAGAAATGAGTTAAAATAGAGAAGGTATTTTTAGGAGAAAGTCCAGTAGTAGCAGAGTGAAGTGGCCATCAAAGAGACCGAGACAAGAATAAACGGAGCCACTTTGGATATGAAACCAGCAGATCCCTCCCTCATTTTTCCAGCCATAACTCATTCAGACTATTCCTTTCAGATTTATTTTAAAGAATCAATATCCATTGTGGACAACTGCAGGTACTTTTTCCTCCCTTATTTAATCTTGACTTAAGGAAAGGACAAAGGGGTTCCATTTTTCTGATTATTTCGTTAGGACGAAAGACCCCAATATCACAATAAGAACATAACCCAATGCCCACAAACATAAAACACATACATATATATGCAGAGTAACAAAGAATCTATGCCTGGATGGAAGGGTACCAATGATGGAGATGATTCTGGATTTCTAATCTAGATCCTGCGGGAGTGAGGTAACAATTTCCTGCAGACCAAACACACGCCTACTGTGGCAGCTCCCCGAGAGCCAATTCTTGCCACCATCCTTAAGAAAACAAAAGTAACTGGGTATCAGTCTTTCCTCAGCCCTCAACGGCAAAACGCCTCCACTTCCTCTTTCCCTTGCTTGGCTGAAATGGAATCGACACTGCAAGCAAGCTAATGTGCGTCCCTAAGTTCTCCAGCACTGCGGTCCTCATGCCCCCTTCCCTGCTTCCAGCAGGGTCAAAACTCAGCAAGCTCTAGGATGCACGCGGAGCTGCATCCCACGGGAGCATCTGGATTTCTAGCCCTGTGAGTCTTGCTTGAGCGTCTGTGGGTGCTCAATTCTACCTCCGTGACTGGGCGAGATTTCACATATAAAGGCTTATGCTAACTCTGGCTAGAATTGACTAAACTACAGTTTGTCCAGTTAAGTGTTTCACAATGGATTAAAGTTTTTAAACCTTAAAAAAAAAGTTTAACGTTGATTTGAGAGTACATAAAACAACTGAGCAGAGTGCAAACAAGAGAAAACCAAAGGAGAAGGGATACATAATTCACTCTGAAATCCCTCCTCCTCACAAAAAAAGGTGCATTAGTTATCAAGTTGCAGAAATCATCAAAGCAAAGAAATCAAGAGCAAAGACAATCTGTACAGAAACTAACAAAAGTATACAATAGAAAAAATTACTAATGCACCATTTTTGTCACAGACTTTTGTTTTTTAAATATATTCACGGATTACCAGAAAGATCTTGAAAAACCCTATTTTGCTCAATGACCAGCATCCTGGCCGCAGATGGATTCTAAGTAACTTTTTGCTTAATGCTTGGTGTTTCAGGTCGGTGATCCTTCCTCTCTGACACGTTACGCTTGACCTTGGCGGTGATGGGCGATGTATCTGGGTTCAGCGAAGGACTCGAATGTGACTTCTTCAGTCCTGCGGCCTCACTTTCGTCGTGACTCAGGAGCTGCTTGCCTCCTTCCTTCAGAATGTTGACATAAATTTCATAACGGGTTTTCTGAAGACAAAGTCAGAGAAGAATGGCAGTCAGGACACTGTTCACAAATGCATGTGTGCAGCACACCTAGTGTGCGTTAACCACCTGGAGAGCAAGAATTACTGCTAGAGACTTGACTTCATCTCCAAGCTAACAAGTTTGGAAACTTACTGGGCACATGAGAGGCAATACTACAGGAGACTGGTTGACTAATTTATCTAGATAAGGAATTAAGTTAGAATTGTAATCCTCATTTGTTTTAGATGCTGAATGAATACCAACTTGGAGTTATTGTCTACTAGATGAGAAATCAGGAATCCCGAACGTCAGGCACAAGAAGGGTCTGCACTGGAGGGGCTGTGACCTCTGGTTTTTGGTGACTGGATGGCTCTTGTGGCTTGGGACTACAGTCGTGTGAAGCCCCCTTCCTGCCCGGTAATCTAGGCCTCAGGTGAGCTGGCTTGGATAAGGTTGTTTACTCTCTTTCCTACTCCTGTTATTCTACAAGACTCAGCTTGAAGGTTCATTCCATGGTGAATCTACTTTCCAGCCTGGAGACCACAGCACTTTCTAGAAGCTGTTCTGGGTCTCTCTCCATTGCTTTTCTGCTAGAATCACCCACTTCTCAGGATTTAATGAACAGGAGCTGCTATGAACATTGTAAAGTTTGCAGAATTTCAAATTATTTTCTCATTCAACAAAATTTCTTTCATCATCAACTATGTAGTGAGCACTTACTATGTTTCAAACAGTTCCTTGAATTCCCCTATCTCTCTTGGGTCTTGATTTCTTCTATAGATATATTTATCATATATATATATTTATTTCATATATATATTCATATATTTATGAATATAGATATATATTTTTTCCCCTGTAGCTCTGGCACTTTTAAAAAAAGTTTCTATACCAATCAATATATATAACTTGTGTGTGTGTGTGTGTGTGTGTGTATTGCAATTTAGAGCAAGGCCTCAAATTCTTGATTTGATACATTCTGGTCAAAATAAGCCTTTCACCATCCTGCCCCAACACATGAAGAAGTCATAGAAAACCAAAAGTGTTTTATTTCCAAACCAAAGAACATGTCAGCTATACATTGTACCAAGAAAGGCAGGCAGATTCTGTTTTGATTTTCTCTTAGGGACTTTTTTAGTCAGATTGGGGTTTTGTATATGTCAGTTTTAAGCTGGTAATTGTGACGTGTTACCTTTTCAAGCAGTTTTGCTCAAAAGTGGGAAAAAAGCTGCTAGACATTAAGTGTGGTCTGAGTTTGGCCAGCACCCACGTAGGGGTACTGAACTTTGGTTGATGATGATGACATTTAGTGAGGTCCTACGTGTTAGCTTCAGGTTATTCTTGCAATAGTCATACACAATTGGTAATGTTCCTATTCCTGTTTTACAGTTAAGGAAACAAGGCAAGAGAGAATTTCAGAGTCAACGCAAGCAAGAAATGAAACTAGAATTTGAACCTATGCAATCTGACTCCAAAACCCATACTTTTGAGCTACATTATCTCCATTGATATGAAAATATAGATTTTATAAACGTTTATTTTAGGATGACTACTCTGACAGACACTATTAGTTGGCCGATCATAAACCATTCTCAACTCATTCTACTCTTATGTCTCTCCCACTACAAAGACTGATAAAACCTAAGATATATATTTTCCCAACCTTTCTTGCAGCTGGGATAGACCATGTAATATCATGGCCAATGAGAACTAAGAATCTTTTAGGGGACTTTTGGGAAAGAGATTTCACTTTCTGATAAAAAGGGACAGGCTTTAGAGGAAAAGCCACTGGTGCTAGTCCCTTACTCTGATTCCTTCCTAAACATGGACATGATTCCTGAACCTGATACCCTGTGACATGGCCTTAGGCATAAAGATTATAGGACAACATGCTAGGCTTGAAGAGAACAGAAAGACAGAAAGAGCCTGGGTTCTTGATGACACAATGAACTGGATCCAACCCTAAGACTATTACCTTGGGAATCATGTTAAGTCTGAATAACAAATATCCTTATGGGTTAAACCACTGTTTATCAGGTATTGTTACTTGCAGCTAAAAGCATTACTAATTGATACACATTCCAACTTAATACAGATGTAACAAAGTAAAGCAAAGAATAACAAGCTAAACATTATCTCAGAAAGCCACATGGGGGTTTATTAAGGGTTTTTGCTAGTAAAAAAAGTCATCAGAACTGCACACCACTACATGCACTGTGAAATCCCGGGATTGAACTAGATGACAACCGGAGGACACATGGTTCTAAATTTCAGTCATTGTGGGAATTTATTAATTAATCTATCTCTAAACTGCCTTGATGACAAACTCAAAATGCAAGAAAGAACTACTCCCGAAAGAAACAAAGTTTAGTGAAATGACCTAAAGGCAGTTTAAACACAGATTCAGAAACCCCACGTAAGGCATATTATTTCATGAAGCTGGAACACTTATACAATGAAAGAGGAACGAAGAACAATTTTTTTGAGATTACTTGAAAGGGGACAAAAGAAGAAAAGGTGATAGGGGCACTTTTCTGCTAGTCTCTAAAGAAGCTGATACTACTGGGAAAATTCTCCTGCAAAATACATGAAGAAAAACCATCTCATCCATTAATTCCACAGCTCCAGGGGCAAAGCTGTTGTTTCAAATAAATTAGATCAGTGTGCCAATCAGCAAACAAAAGGCACAGCACAGAGGCTTGGCAGCGCATGAGTCATCAGACCAGAAGAAAAGTCAAGGCAGAGAAGAGGGTGAAAGGGAGGCCAGCAAACAAGACCTGCTCTGTTGTTGCTGAAACAAATAAAGGAAAGGAAACCTATGTGGGTTTGTGAACTTCTAATGCTGTGCTCCATTTCTGACCTAAAAGGCTTATAGGGACAGAGGCCACACAACCCAGTCATGGCAGTTTTGCTTTTTACCAATCTCTAGGTCTAACTTTTACTGAAAGTAAACCAAATATGCTTCTTCAAAATATCTAATAAAACTTTAATCTCAGAACTATTCAGCAGGTTATTAGTTTTAGGCATGTCTTTCCAGGATTACAGACTCATCCAAATATATAAATCCTGTCCAGAGGAGTTGCGGACAAAATAAAATTGTCTCTGAGTGGAAAAACAAAACAAAACAAAAAAACCCCAACTCTGAACAAAGCCCTGAAGAGCAACAGCAAGGAACATAACTTCAGAGAATTTTCCTCCTCAGTGATTTCTCCTAGTATTCTCTTTTTGGGGAGTAGGAAGGTCGTACTTCTTCCTGACTATGCAACCCCATCCTTGGGATGGTCTATTTCCTTTTTTCCTTTCAGAGAAAACAGGATGTGCAACTTTTTTTCCTAAGACAATTTTGAAATAGAAGTTTTAAATTAAAGCTGGTGTGAAAGGAAAAGTGAAGAGGCAGCAAGAAGTGTATTAGTAAATTGCCTTTTAAAGGTCTGATGTGCCAGCTCTGGGGTACATAGAGGAAAACTTGATCAATGTTCAAATGGTCAACCTGGACCAAAGAGATTTGTAAATGATATTGTGGCAGACACTGTTTGTTACTTTCTAAACAGTCTCTTCTTTCATGCTACCAAACCTGTGGTTTTTATCAGGGATGCCGATGTGCCCTTACACCAGACACGATAACACTCATCTCTGTTTCTGTAGCCACCACGTGGACTAGAAGTCATGTATGTAGAAGTCAGATAGGATGAAAGCAGTTTTTGCTATCCTGATAAAAGGTGGTAGGCAATAAAGTATTTTTAAATTAAGGTACGTTCACTGTTTTTTTAAGACAGTGCTATTGCATGCTTAACAGATGATAGTATAGTAGAACGTAACTTTCATATATACTGGAAAACCAAAAAATTCACATGACTTACTCTATTGTGATACTAGTCTTATTGGGGTGGTCTGGAACCAAGCCCACAATATCTCTGAGGAATGCCTGTGCCTGTAACCAGTGTCAGGCTCTAGCAGTTGCTAACTGTTCTTCCAGTTTCACTCTGTGCCCCCTATGTGCAGCCTTCCCAAAAGACAGCGGCCTGTGAAAATGCAAGAGAGAGTATACTCCAGTCACTTCTTGTCCTTAAAATCTTTCTCAACCAGAAACCCTTAAAATGACCTTGAAAATCCTACTGTGTGCTCGTGCCGCCCCTTGCTTTGGTCCAACCTCTCAGTCATCTCCCTGTGCTCACCCTGTGCCAGAGTTCTGCTTCCTGACTGTCCTTGAACATGGTAAACATACTCTTCCTCAAGGTCCTCTGGAACTTATTCTTCTTTCTGTCCAAAAAGTTCTTCCCCCAGAAACCCAAAGGAATTCTACCATTCTTCACCTCTTCCAGGTGTTCACTCCAATGTCACCTTGACACTGAGGCCTTCCCTGGCCATCAAAATCTAAAACTGTAATACCTACTCTTATCCCTCTTCATTGCTTTATTTTTCTCTGTAGCACTTTCCCCCATCTTATATTTCACTTTAAAAAAAAAAAAGCCCTTGTTTATTTCGTTCTTGACCTCAAATACTAGATGTTTCACATAAAGGCAAAGACTGCTTTTGTTTACTAACATGTCCCCAGGGCTGAGAACACACAGCATACCCCGAATAAACTTTTGTTGAATGTATGAGTGGGAAGAGGAATACATTTTCCATATCTAGTAGAAAACATATTTTGAACTCATAATATGGCAAATTATAGAAAAATAAAAATAATGTGGATATGGATGTCACCAGCAGATGCCTGATAGGTTCCGGATTCAGGATTCTCCAAGGACGCATCTTTGTCTTCAATGTTCCACCATTCTAATGTTTTCCACAAAACCCCTAAGGTTTGATCCTGTCAGTACTGAACCTCACAAGCCTCCACTCAGCAAAGGCCTGTCCATTTCTTCCACGCCCACTTGGCCTCCACTGTCAAGATACCATGCATAGTGAACCCTGAAGCGTGCACTGAGGTACAGCTGCCTTGCCTAGGACTGAGGTTCTATCTCTGTAAGAAAGAAAAGTGGTTTATGCATACTTTTGAG